ACAAAAGAAGGAGGCCGGCGACCAAATTCGCGGGCGGCGCAGCGGCGCGACAGCAGTCAAATTCATGGCGACGAATTGCTCTGGCGAGGCGTTGGACAACATTTGCAAAACCACTACTCGCATTGCTCAATCCTGGGGCAAGCACACCATGACGCACCGTGGGGCAAACGCACCATGGGCACGTGCGCAGCGGCGGGGCTGGCTCGTGCTGACGAGGGCGCACTGGCGAGCGTCGATGCCTCCGCGCGCAACGCGCGTGGCACACGCGCTGGGGATGCGCGGGCACGCGATGCCAGAGCCTTTGCGCGCGTGCCAGCTGGGCACACGCTGGGGGGGGGAGGTAGGAGGAGGAGGAGGAGGAGGAGGAGGAGGAGGAGGAGGAGGAGGAGGAGGAGGACGAGGAGGAGGAGGAGGAGGAGGAGGAGGAAGGGGGGTGGGGGGGCGCGCGCGCGTGCGCGTTTGCTGATGCCTTCGCGCGCGCGCGGCGTGCGGTCGGCCTGGCCCTCGCCGCGGAAGCGTTTGCGCGCGCGGGAGCGTGCGCGCGCGGGCGTCGTTTCCGCGAGGGCCAGGATGCGTTTGAGTGTCAAAGGAACAACGCACACCCATACCCATAGGGGGGTCGTTGGGAGGAGGACTGGCTATGGGTGTGGGTGCAGGTTGTCGGACCCTGGGGAACGCTCCCGTTCGAGCGGGGGACCCCATCCGACAGCACGCACCCATAGCCCTCTCCGACCCCCCCTATGGGTATGGGTGTGTGTTGTTGGTTCGTCATGTCATGTTAATGCCAGGAACCCTTTTCGTTGGGTAGGGGCTCCGCGTTCCTTAGGTGTTGCGCAGCTTGCCTCGGGTTTTCCTTAGGTCCTCGATCGGAAATCGAAGCTTAACTCATGGAGAAAAGGGGCCTCGTTCCTTGTTTTGGGTTCCTTAGGTCAAGGCCCCGACTGTAATGTAAGGCGAGCTCTCGTGCTAACGGTACGCGCGGCGCTGCCTGTCTCGCGTTGATGCGTATGCGCCAAAGTAAGATTCCATCCGCAGCAAAAATGGATTAGCACATCTGTCCAATGTTGTATGCAGCATGCCGCCCCAGGCCAACGCCAGAACCGTAGTTTGGGGCGGGCCATTGTGCCGCATTTGAGTTCGCCTGTCGCCTGACGCAAAGTGGCGCGGTTCGAGTGAACATGTGGAGATATTGGTTAGGTTGTTTGTCCTGCTGCTTGTTTGTGACTCTTGTCCCCTGGTCTTACTTAAAGGCGGTGTGACTTCGCCTCCACGGCGGCGCGCCACATAGGGCAGTTGTCAGAGGTGCCCGAGGAAGTCCGCATCGCGCAGGGGCGCCAGCGGCCACGTTGTTTGTCTTGATCCGCGAGTGAAGTTAACAACATGCACACGTACACATACACACACGCATTTTTCGTCGCAGCGCCGCAGAGGCGGTCCGCACGCGCGTTCCAGTAGCCCTGGGCGCATGGCGTAAGTACTAGTCGCCACGAATGCAGGAGAAGGCTAAAGCGAGGGGGGGGCGGCCGCGGGAGGAAGGGAAAATGGGGCGCGCGCCACACACACACACACACACACACACACACACATACACACACAGTCTTTCAGCGGAAGCGGCATGGCGTGCAGCGACACGGCGGAGTAAGTCAAAGCACAGTGCTTGCGGCGGCCAGGCCCACAGGCATCACTCAGGACACGCACACACACATGCACACTCACACACTTACACTTCTTGGCGATCGCGGCCCCGCGCGCAGCGACGAGGCGGATCAGGTTAACACAGCGAGCTGTACCTTGCGCGCGCCGACACACACGCACACGCACGCACGCACGCACGCGCAAACACACGCACACGCACACGCACACACACACACATGTTTTGGACGCTCGCGGCCTCGCGCGCAGCGCCGAGGCGGAGAACTATCGGATAAACACACACACGCACACTTCTTGGCGTCGCGGCCCCGTGCGCAGCGACAAGGCGGAGAAAGTTGAAGAACAACAGCCGCGCGCGCGCGCGCTTCAAAAGCGGCCGAGCCCCCAGAGACCGCAAGGCGTCAAGCAACAGCCGCTGGCCATCGTCATCGGGGCATGGATGACAGGGGGGTCGGACGGGGGGTCGGACGAGACGAGACTACAGTGCGATGGAGGTGCCGAAGGCCAACCAGCCGCGGATGAAGGAGGAGTGAACGGTGGAGCGACGGGCCGGAGCCGACCAGAAGCCCGCGAGGGAGAGGGAACAAGGATGACAGGGGGGCCCGACGGGGGGGTCGGACGAGACGAGACTACAGTGCGACGGAGGGGCCGAAGGCCATCCGGCGGCGGAAGACGGGGGTGACGAGAACACACACACACACATCCACACACACGCGCACACACATACATATATATATATACATACATAAATATAAATAAGTATGTATATATATACACATGAGAACAGGCTCAGGCTCAGGGGCGTCGACCATTTGGAGCTCATCCTCGTCCCCGCTTGCATCATCACCACTGGGTTCATCACCAGCAGGCTGAAGAAGACCATCACGAGTGGCCATGAGCGAGCGCAGCGATGCCGCCAGCTTCGGCGACAGGGCTCGAACTGCATGAGCAGCGCAAAACCAGGGTCGTCGGGACCAACTGCTGCCGCAGCACCACCAGCACGAGGCCGACCTTCCACGGGTAGGTTGCTGACCGCCGCCCAGGCCGCCGCAGCCTTGACGCCAGCAGCCCGCCCTTGAGACTGGAGCTGGTCGAGCTTGGCCTTTGCAGCGACCAACTCCAAGAATTTCTCATGCATTTCCTTCTCAAGCTTGTCAGCCTTCGCCTCAGCCAGCACCAACTGACGCTTGAGCTCATCATGCGCCCACTGGCTGTGCTTCGCAACTGCCTTGGGGTCGCCCGCCGCCAGCGCGCGCTGCGCCGACAAGCGAGCCCGCTGACTTGGGCCAAGAAGAGACTTACTGGCCTCGAAATCAGCATTGGACATCTTAACAAACACCGCCAACTGAGACTCGTCGAGCAGCTTAGGCTTCGCCTTCGCCACTTTGGGGGGCCCATTGGCCCAGTCCCTTGAGAACCACGTACAGGGGGAGAACCAGGCACAGCAGGGCGTTCAGCACCACACTTCTAGCAGTGCTTCTTCCAAGCAAAGTTTGCCTTGACGCCACATTTCTTCTCAGGACAGCACCAGACATCGCCGCCACGACCGAGACTGCCCATGGAGGAGGAAAGAACACGAGGAGCGCCACCGCGCGTGAGGGACGAAACCTCAGTACAGTGATTGGACTCCTGGAGACCGTGGAAAGCAGTGGGGCCGCAAATCCCCTTGCCAAAAACTCGCGTCCGCTTGAGCAATGCCTCCAGACTTGAGCCAAAATGGCTACGGATCCTCCTCCTCCTCCTCCTCTTCCTCTTCTTCCTCTTCTTCCTCCTCCTCCTCCTCCTCGTATGTCCAGGGTTGGTCCACAGTCGGGCTGGGGAGGGGGTGGTTACATTGAGAAGGAGCAGTGATAAGCCCCTCCCCCGAACTTGGGAAGGAGGGGTTTGGGCACAGAGAAAGCACAGCTCGTTCAACCACCTACGCCCCGAGGGCCGGTGGGATTCGCACCCCCGCCGGCGCGCCGCAGAGCGCAGCTGCCAGAGGTGCCAGGGCTATAGGTCGGCACCGCGCTGGGGCACCAGTGGCCGAAGAGCTTGCCTCCTCTCCCCGGGTCAACACAGCAGACAGCACACCTCCTTGCTCCGGGGGCGGACAAGAGGGGGGTGATGACAGGGGGGGGGGGAGGGATACCATGGCGGGGGCCATGATATTTGCCCAGATCTCAGGGCGCCTCTTCTTGTTTCATTACGTTCCTGGGACCCCCGCTGGGCCGCGCACATGCCGCCGGTCATGATTTGCACCCCCCCCTCGTGGACACCCCCCTCTTGGCCGCTCCCGATTGCTGCAGGTCTCGAGCCGAATCCATCTGCGAGGGGCCCGGGGCCGGAGACCGGGCGAAGACGCCGGGTGCTTGGAAACGTTGCAGCGCCAAGGTCTCGGGCCAGCGACCGCCCAGAGTCGGAGGCTGCCCGGAGGGTTTGTTGGGCAAGCTCGGTTTCGCCAGGCTTCAGGCCCTGCCAGCCCGACCTGAGCCCCCCCCAGCTCGACCCGTGGCGCCCCAGCAGCCGTCGAAGCGGCCCCTCCTGAGCCAGACCCTCCCCGCTGTCCACGATCGATGAGCAGCCTGGATCATATCCCTATCCCTCTGCCCTCTGATTGGCATCGCTTCATCTCGATGCCGACCTTCAGGCTTCCTTCAGTTTCTGAGGGCGCACCCCGACGACTGCCATCACCTCTTGGCAAGTCAATCTGGGGGATGGGGATCAGTCCGAGCCTGGTTAAGAGAGGATCGGCCACGCGCAGAGTGGGGGGCAGGGGGAGGGGGAAGGCTCTTGGACGCACCCCTGCTCATGAGACGGCGCGGGCCTTGCCTGCAGATGTAAAGCCCGCGCTTCCTAAGAAGCAGCCTCCTCCTAAGAAGCCCTTCCCCCCTCCCCCCTACTCCCTCGTGCCCGCCACCAGCACACGTATCAGCATCGTTGTCGCCATTGTCCACGTCGCCATCTTCTCGCGCCCGCCCTCCGAGTTGTTATGTTTATGTCACTTTTTGTTCCCATAGAAGTGCCCGTGCGCCGGTCGCGGCCGTAGCGACGCGCTGGGAGATGCTCCAGCCAGTAGGGCGCCATCGTGGCCGCAGCAAGCGTGCGCCCTTGCGCGCGAGCGGGCCCGCGCCGGCGCGGCCGCAGAGACGCGCTGGCACGTGCCAGCCAGTAGCCGCAATCGTTGCCCCCATCTTTAGGTCGGGCGTGTCCTCCTGCAGGCGGATGTTTGCCGAAACATCAAAGATAGTCAAGATCATGTTCAAACAAAGAGGCAAGACACATCAAGACAACCGCCCCTTCCTCTGTGGCCGTTTTTTTTGATATTCTTCCTTTCCTGCCGAGGGGCAGGCCCGATTCGACCCAAGGAGGCCCGACATGCTCTCCTCGCGCGCGCTGCCAAGGAGGCTCCCGCGGCGGCTCCGGCGCCCCCGCAGCGGGCCCCGCCGGAGGAGCCCTCGGCGCCCAGGAGGGCGGAGGCGGCGCCGGGCGCCCCCCGAAAGTTGTCCACCACCACTACCATATGTAGGACGGGGGGAGAAGGGTGGATGGGGAGCTCCTCCTCCTCCTCCTCCTCCTCCTCCTTCTCCTCCTCCTCCCTCCCTCCCTCCCTCCCTCCCTCCCTCCCTCTCTTACCTCCTTACCCTCATCCTTCATCCCTCCTCCCTCCCTCCTTCCTCATCCTTCATCCTCCTACCTTCTTACCCTCATCCTCCCTCCGCATCCTCATCCTCCCTCCCTCCTTCTTCTCTCTCTCTCCTCCCTCCCTCTCTTACCTATGGCAGTGGTGGTGGAGTTTCGGCCCATCACCCAAAGGCTTAGTCAGTATCGTTGAACGGGCCCCCATCACAGAGGAGGAACATACCGATACCTTTGCCACGTTTTCGCTTGTTCGGGGCCTCATGGGAGGCCCTCGTCGCCACGGATAGGTCCGGAGAGTAGCGGTATCGGTATCGCTTGGTTTCCCCACCATTCCCATCACCATCCCCATCCAGACCCCCACATTCTCAGTACCCCAGTTGGGGATATACCCCTCGAGACCCGAAGGGAACAACCGATGTCCCCATCTAGGGGGGTAAATCGGCCAGCAGGTCCCAGGCCACTTCGATGGGGATAGGGGTCGGCGAAACAATGCTCAAAAGTTCGAGGTTCGAGTTTCGAACACCGGGCGTCTCGAGAGAAGCGGAACGATGATTTTTCAGCGTCTTCGGCTGCGTGGCGCCCTTACCGGGCCTGGGGACTGTGAACAAAAAAACATTGGATGAATCACTTATCCCAGAGAAGTGGTCGGGAGGTCGGGGGCCCGTGCCTCGAAACAATCGAGGCGTTGGATGTCTGGGAAGGATTCGAATGGTCTTCGACCCTCCTGGGCCTCTTCTCGTTGCCACGGCTGGATCCGCCTGTGGGCAGAACGCACCTCAGAGCAGGCCCAGGGGTCGACTCCTGACCCCTGGATGGAGCAGCGATCGGCAGGCTGAGATTTCCGACGATCTAATGTTTCCCATCCGGGAATATGTTCCTCGATTTCGGCTTCTGTGGCCTGGGGCAACCAAAAATTGCGTTGCATCTTCAGTGGACCTCGCCCGTCCCAAAATTGGTGTTTTTTCTTGTGCCAGACGCGGGTTCGATGCGGACGCGGCGCGGATTTGGCGCGGACTCGACGCGGCTTCGGCACGGATTCGACACGGATCCGACGCGTCCGACATGGATTCGGCACGGATTCGGCGCGGATAGGGCCGCGACGGGACAGGCAAGGTCCCCCGAGGATGCAGCAGAGAGTGGGGATGCGCATCAAGAAGCCATATCTGTTTTTCGGCAGGGTGGCTGAGGCTTTGCCGCCCCGCTCGCTGCGCGGGATTACGTCCCGCGGCCCTCGAAGACGCTGCTGCGCTCCGGCTGCTCTGTGTCCCCCCCTGTGTGCACTTCTTTCGTTGCATCTTCGGGTTTTTTTTTGTGCAATCCTTTTTTTTTGTGCAATCTTTGGGTTTTTTTGTGGTTTTTTTTTGTGGTTTTTTTTGTGCAATCTTTCGCTGCATCTTCTGGGGACGGGGCCTGTTCCAAAAATTGATCTCGGGTTTGTCAGGCGATCGCAGACATGGATGAAGTGGGCGTGGATCAGCGACGGGTCCCGTTACCATGGGGAATCGAGGATTCCCGCCGCCGAACGAGGCGGCACTGGCCGCATTTGGGGAGGGCACCTCCCCCGATCCATGGATTTGGCGGCCGCGCGCCAAATCCATGGATCGCTGATCCATGTTTGCGCGCTATCGCTCCTGTGGCCCGTGCCTACCCAGAGCAGATCCGGGACGAGAGACTGCCTCCCGGGGAGCGGCCGGGGGCTCCCGGGGAGCCGCGGGCGGGGCAGCTCTCATGGGGATCCTTCGGGGTGGCTGCACGGCTTCCCGGGCTCTCTGGGAAGGGGCGCTTCTCGGAAGACCAGGGGGCCTCCGAGGTGGTCTCTCTAACCGCGCGGCGGCCCGGCCGCGCGGTGAGGTCCTCCTCTAGGGGCTCTCGGGTCAACGCACGGCCTCGGGACCCCCCAACCCAAACCCCTTCCTCCTCCTCCTCCTCCTCCTCCTCCTCCTCCTCTTCTCCTCCTCCTCCTCCTCCTCCTCCTCTACTCCTCCTCCTCTCCTCCTCTTCCTCCTCCTCCTCCTCCTCCTCCTCCTCCTCCTCCTCTCCTCCTCCTCCTCCTCCTCCTCCTCCTCCTCCTCCCTCTCTCCCCTCCTCCTCCCCTCCTCCTCTCCCTCCCTTCCCTCCCTCCCTCCCTCCCTCCCTCCCTCCCGTCCCTCCCTCCCTCCTCCCTCCCCCCCTCCCTCCTCCCTCCTCACCTCCTCCCTCCCCCTCCTCCCTCCTCCTCCTCCCTCCTCCCTCCTCCCTCCTCCCTCCTCTCCTCCTCCCTCCCCTCCCTCCCTCCTCCCTCCTCCCTCCTTCCTCCCTCCTACCTCCTCCTCCTCCTGCTGCTCCTCCTCCTCTTGCTGCTCCTCCTCCTCCTCCTCCTCCTCCTCCTCCTCTTCCTCCTCCTCCTCCTCCTCCTCCTCCTCCTCCTCCTCCTCCTCCTCCTCCTCCTCCTCCTCGGCGCGGGGCCCCCGCATGTCCCGACCCCGTCCCTGGGGACCGGCTCCTCGCCCCGCGACGTGTTTTGTTGACGGCCCCGATCGGGTATGGCCAGGGCCCCGGGCAAGGGGACCTGGTTAGTGGTAGGGCCACGGAGCCTTCGAATGGGCCAGAATCGCTACGCCAGGTTTGCCATTTGCTGGCGTTTTTGTTCGGGTGACGGCAGTTCCGGTTAGTGGGAAGGGGACGGGGGGCGCCCCCGGTACAGATCACTAAACCAGGTTCCACTAAACCCAGTTCTGCCAACGCCCGACCCGAGGCCTGGCGAGGGCCCCCCCGAGGCCGAGATTGTGGCAGAAACCTCCCGCCCTGGTTCTTATGTTTGCGACGCGAGCATGTTTTGGATGGCGTCGCAGGAGCCAGGACGGAAGGTTTCTGGGGGGGGCTCCGAGGTCCCAGGGCCGCGCGGGCGGCGGGACCCGCGAGGTGCGGTCTCTCTCTCTCTCTCTCTCTCTCTCTCCCTCTCTCTGGGGGCTCCCCCGCACCGCCTCGGGACCCTGACCCAGACAGGATCGCTTCGTAGAACAGCAATCAGGACGGGAGTTTTCTTTGGGGGGGCCCATTTCGCCTTCGGGGGGCCCTCGCGGGGCCGCGGGGCCGTCCAAGAACGACTCGGGATGAAAAGCCGGTCCCGGCTCGGAAGCGCAGGTCGAGCTGGCGACGCACCGCTTCACGCAGGCGCTCCGGGAGCAGCACGAGGTCTGGGTGTCTGCCAGGGAGGAGCTGGTCCGATCCAGCCTGCAGATGCGCCACCAGGAGGTTGACGCCGCCAGGAGCAGGGCCCGTTTCAATATGGTCGATCCGATTCGAGATGTCCGGCCCGATCCGATACGATTCCGATGCCCGGGCGATCCGATGCGACCCGATGTTCGCATGACTCTGCTGCGCATGTTGGCGCGGCCGTTCCTCAGGAAGGTTTTTGGGAGGTTGTTGGAAAAACCTTCCTGGAACCTTCCTAAAACCTTCCTCAGGAAGGTTTTTGGAAGGTTTTTTTGAACAACCTTTCTGAAACCTTCCTCAGGAAGGTTTTTGAAAGGTTTTTGGAAAAAAAAACCTGTCTGAAACCTTCCGACTCTGGTGCTGATGCTGCCTGATCCGACGCAAGTCCCAACCCCATGCGATTTCCCGATTCGGTGCTGACGCATCCTGCCAGGAGGCCGAGTGGCCCTTCCTGGGAACCTCAGAGGGTCCCCAAACTCATGGCGGTTTGGGTGATCTCGCTGGATTCGGTCCACACCTGGGCGAAGTTTGGACGAGATCTGGACGCACGGGTGAAGGGGGTGGTCGAAATCTGGGCGACATCGGGTCGAAAGCACGGTCATGATACAGTGCCGTTCTTAATACATGCTCCGCGTGCGGAGCATGTATTAAAAATACAGGGATTCAGTATTAAAAACAAAGATGAGCTTATGCATACATTCATTCACATCTTAATCATGTGTTAAGAATCTCAAAATTTTAAAGATCCAATGTATAAAAAAAAAAAAAAAAAAAAAAAAAAAAAAAAAAAAAAAAAAAAAAAAAAAAAAAAAAAAAAAAAAAAAAAAAAAAAAAAAAAAACTGCCCTGTAGGGCCGCGGAGGTCCACAGAGGCCCCCGTGAAGGCGCACCCGCGCGTCCTGACCTCGCACGCGCCCGCCGCCCTGGCAGCGCGAGGTCGGCCAGCCGCGGCCGTCGCAGTCGTGCTTCCCCCCTCGGTTTAAGTCGGGCCTGTCACCCTACAGGGGGATTTTCGACGAAAGAAGAATACCCCCAAAAACAGAATCCAAAAATAGCCTGGGGACTATTTTTCGAGTCTTTGTTGACCGTTTTGGGGTATTTTTGGGGTATTTCCCTACCTAGGCTCTGCCTAGAAGGGTTCTTACTCGCTTGGCTTAAAGGGGCCGGGCAGTGCAAACCGCCCCGGGCGGTTCCCCCAGTCCCCTGGGAGCCAAGCAAAAGCAACAGCAAAGGTAAAAGCAACAACAAAATCAAAGCAAAAGCAAAAGCAACAACAACAGCAAAAGCAAAAGCAAAAGCAAAGGCAAAGGCAAAAGCAAAGGCAATAGCAACAGCAAAGGCAATGCAAAGCAAAAGCAAAACCAATGCGAAAGTGTAGATGTAGATGTAGATGTAGATGTAGATGTAGGTGTAGGTGTAGCTGTAAATGTGGATGTAAGTGTAGATGTAGATGTAGGTGTAGGTGTAGATGTAGGTGTAGATGTAGATGTAGATGTGAGTTTCGCTGTTGATGTAGATGTAGATGCAGGTGTAGATGTAGATGTAGATGTAGCTGTAGGTGTAGATGTAGATGTAGGTCTAGATGTAGATGTAGGTGTCGATGTGGATGTAGGTGTACATCTATAGATGTAGATGTAAAGAACTCCCCAGTGCCCCGCCCTCATCTCCGTGCCTGCTCGCTTTTGCTGCTGTCTCGGCGACTTGCTGCCTGCTTCTGCTGCTGCTTCACTTACGGCGTGGCGTCGGCGGTTCTGGCGCTACTACTACTACTACTACTACTACTACTACTACTACTACTACTACCGCTACTACTACTTGTACTACTACGACTACTACTACTACTACTGCTGCTGCTGCTACTACTATTACTACTACTACTACTACTACTACTACTACTACTACTACTACTACTACTACTACTACTACTACTACTACTACTACTACTACTACTACTACTACTACTACTACTACTACTACTACTACTACTACTACTACTACTACTACTACTACGACCTACTACTACTACTACTACTACTACTACTACTACTACTTCTACTACTAGTATCCTCACTACTACTCCTACTCCTACTCCTACTCCTACTCCTACTCCTACTCCTACTCCTACTCCTACTCCTACCACTACTACTACTACTACTACTACTACTACTACTACTACTACTACTACTACTACTACACTACGACTACGACTACGACTACGACTACGACTA